TAGTTGGGATTGCTGTTGCCCCAGATTAAAAATTTTAGTAGGGTGAGAGCACTTGAAATTTCCCACACATTTATGAGGAATAAATGATGAATAAAGAGACTACCCAATTGAAATCATAATGCACCATATTCTGTTTATCTCAATACATTAACTCAAAGTCCAGATCACAAGAAACATTAAGAGAATAATGCTTTATGGGTGAGGGGCAGTTTAAAAATAACATTCTTTTATGATCCCCTTACTGTCAGCTATCACAAAATTAAATATTGTGGTTTAAAAGCAAGGGAAACATAAGCCAAAATTAACCCCCCAAATTCTGATAAACACTTAAATTTTACTACTTTTACAATTTTAAGAATAAAAGCAAAAGAAGAAAAATAAAAACTAAAACATTAGTATATCTATAGTATGTCATTTACATAAGTAAAATATAATTGCGTAAATGAATGATCTAGCATAAGTATGACTTCATTTTGCATTTTACATGTGAAGTTTTATTTTGTGTAGGAGATACTTTTAATTACTTATCTGTTAATTGCAATATTTCGGTCTTATGAAGTCACTCATCTGTCTGATTAAATCCATTCTAAAAGAAGAAACTGATGTTTTATTCTTCCTGCATTCCACTCATAAAATATGGCTGCAAGTAAGGAGAGATGGGAATAAAAGGCGGGGTTGGCTTCATATCTGCTTTCTACCAGGTGGAAATAAAGGCTCTTTTAGAGATTTATTCCAAGGAGCAATCAATGATCTCTCTATGAAATTTCTTGATGCTTAATATTATCTTTGAATTTGTGAGACAATTGATATGTCCAGTGTTTAAGTTTATCTCTCTCTGAGCAAGAAGATCAATTCATGTTCTTAAATGGGTACACATGAAAATCAATCAAATGTATTTAAATGACTTGCTATTTATTTGATTGGGAAAGGTCATCACCAAGCAAAGAAAAATGTTATATTATGGTTAGTGAACATCTTCTTATCCGAATCACAGCTTTGTGGATTAAGACAATGTGAATGCTTTTCAGTGGAGCTCTCCATAGTACATGATGATGTGAATGTGGTCACAGGGCTGAAGCTTTTTTAGTTTTTTCCCCTTAATACATTTATTTCTTTTCCAACTCTGTAGTAGTTCTATGAGCACATGAAAATGATTAAAATTCTGATTATTAATATGAACAAAACAAAAAGGAACATCTTCAAAATTAAAATTCAGAGAGAAATTGAATCCCATAACAGGGTATTCATTTATATTCAGAGTATGCTAATAGTCTCCAGGCTTTGTGCATAAGATCTTAGAATTCAATCAGTAAATCATTTTAACAACAGAACCCAAAAATGAAATGGCAAATAGATTTTTTTTCAAGGTAACCACTTGCTGTATTGATCAAAGCTTTATCTAGACTCATATAATATTGACAAGCTGCAAGTGAGATTTTATAACTTTATCAGTGTTAATGTGTCACCAGCCAAAGTTTTGGTAATATTTTCTGTTAGCTGTCGATCTTGGTTGTATCATAACTATAACTTTAGCTACGCTTTTTTTCTGTTGTGATAATCATGCTCCAAAGAATGAGAAGCTTTCGGCAAGGAGGTGATTCACGTCTCTGTCAGCAAAGTAACTACTTTGCTAGTACAGAGTACACAGGTATTTTCTACCACATTGTTCACCTAAAGCCAATTTCATTACCATGATAGTTA